TCGTCATCAACCGTCGTCGATCTTGCGGCTGTCGTGGCCGAGCTTCGTCCGCTGGTCGTCTTCGCGTCTCGAGTCAACCCGCCCGCGACTCTGGTCCGCCCCGCAGGACGATCGTGAGAACTCTGTATTGGTGGCCAGTTGCTACTTCCAGACATCATTTTCACCACCCATTTGCCATCACGTACTCCTCACGTCGCCTCGTCTCTTGTTCAATTTATATATTGTTTACTGATTTTTTTTTGCAATTTATGCTTTGTATTGCATTTCTTTCATTTTATCGGCATACAACTAACTAACAAATTTTAATAGAGTTAAAAGCATTTTTATATCTATGTTATTTAAACATAGGTAGATACTATTGTAAACATTGTTCAATTAAAAATAAAAATTTTGTCTACACAGTAAAATGTTGTTTCTTATTTTACGTTGTACAATTTTATGAATACGATTTTATTTATTTCAACAGAATAAGGGCTCATGAAGAATATTAACCAATTTTTTTTATTATTTAAGTACCAAATTTTCAGAAGAAACATCCACTCATCTAGCAAATAATATTAGCAAACCTGTGAAGTGTTGTGTAGTTTGTTGTTTTAGTGTTTTAGTTAACTACAATTTATACACTAATACTTATCTGGTTCTTTATTAATGTTATAAACTACTTTTATCATTTTCAGTCGCACACTCACACGAGTGGGTTGTGAAAGGAGTTTTTCCAAATTAAAATATATTAAAAATTACTTGAGAAACTTAATTACTCAAGATCATTTAGAGTGTTTTATACTCATGAGTGTAGAAAAAGATATTTTAACTTCTATTAGTACAGATAGTGTAATTGATAAGGTTGCATTATACAGTGAGTCTTTAAAAAAATTATTAATGTATTAACTACAAAAAATAAATAAATCTGTACTAAGAGTACCTATATTACTTATTATATAATATACCTATAGTTTTTTATTATATTGTTATATCAAAATAATATATTGCTCGCTCTTATTTTTTGAGAGCCCTTATTTAAATTACTTCCCGATAAAAAAATATAAGCCTATCAGCCACTGCTCACTTGCAAGTTGCAATACCTGCCAAGTCATTAGAACAATAATTTATAACAACAACGTATTAAACATAATTGTACTTCGGATAGAGGTTGTAGCGTGTAGACGTGAAACTTTATTAATATACCTGAGAGCCGTTGTAATTGGCGATCCAGAGAATACCATTTCCGTCGATCGTCATTCCATCGGGGACGCCAGGTATGTTATCCTTCTTGAAGTCGTAGAACGTTCTACGGTTTTCTGTCGGATAAAGCATAAACTGAATTTGTCAGACATCAATAATGTTGGAAGAAAAGTGTTATAATTATTATATAATCAAATGATCAATACATAAACATAATTTAATAATTACAAATGGTCGCCATGACGAAATCGTAGTCGAAAAGTACTATTTGTCTGGTCGGAGAATCGTTGTGGACTTGTGGTACATCCATGATCCATGTGCTATCGTAATTCGTTGCTCCAAGCTACCTCGGTAGAAACAGTAACTCTTGGTAGGGCGGGATCGAGATTGACGAGATTTCGAAAACATCCGGTATCGTACAACTTGTACGAAGTCGAGCTACTCGGCGGCCGGCGGTACATGACCGGCGGCGTCCTTGAATCCCATCGTACCTGTCGAGCATTCGATTTACAAACAATTACTTACTACGTCGAGGTCGGAGGGAATAATGGTCGGGTTAAGTCATAGCTCATATTTTTGACACTTCTTAAACATTAAACACATATAGCACATTATTTAGTACATATCGAATACAACTGATACATTTCATGAATTTTTTTAGGTAATCTGTAACAATGTTAACAGACAACAATTGACTCAACGCCTGTTTACCAGTATTTGTTGTCTCCATCAAACAAGCACGCAAGTACAGACTACAGAGTACGTAACAATAGAGTCCAATGCCAAAAATATTGTGTTTTAGAGTACAAAATACTTGTCAGTACTTCAGTAGCAGTAGCAAAGTAAAAACGTGTATCAAAAGTGTGTTGTTAGAAATAACACATCGATATTATAATGAATAGGTATTCCATATTTCCATGGAGTGTGGCAAATGCAGACATATTAATTATTTTGGCATAGTGTTGGTAATCACTAATCTCTGTTCTTATAAATTATGATTTCAAAGTGCTGTCATATTAAAATATTAAAAATATTATCTTAACTCAAGGCGGAAATGTGTCTGTTACAAGGTTACCTACTAGGTAAACATTCTAAGCTCAGCATAAAAATAAAGCTACTCCTTTACAAAATTATTGATGCCTATCTAGACGGGAGCATACTACTTGCGTCCGAAATTATTATCAGTAGGTAAGTTGCGTCCCGCAAAAAAAAAGATTCAAAAAGGACATAGCGTATTTGCGTCCCGGTATAGGTACCTTTTTCTATGACCTAATTGCGTTCCGAAAATATCGATATAATCGATATAAAAATGTACATTGATGATACAAATTTAATTTATAATAATAACAATATAAAAATGGTTATAATAAATTATCAGTTCAATTCAATTGCAGTATTAATAATAATAATAATAATAATATACAAATTCATGCTATACATTTTGTCATCAAAATAATAATATAAAAATTCATGTTATACATTTTGTCATAATAAATATAGTATAATATAATAAAAAATAATAAAAAAATGAATGTTAAACATTTTGTCATAATAAATCATTACCGAATCATACTGAATTTACAATTTATGAACTATCGGTTTTATTGACACGATACTATCGATTTAAATGATTTCTGAAGATAATATCGATAATAATAATATGGCTGACTTGCGTTCCCCAAAACGGGACGCAACTTACCGGTCAAATTTACTACCTGAAAAATATATTTTTTTTTGGGACGCAAGTAACATGCAGCCATCTGGACATACAGCATCCAATTATGGAGATAGCCCAAAAATCAAACATGATATAGTCAATATAGAACAATTCAGAATAGTATAATTACAATAATTTCCTTATCCTACATCTCAAATCACATCTTTCATACTGATTTAAAAATAAACACAGTTGAAGAATCTGCAAAGGTAACTAAACAAACGTTTCCACTCTCGAGTCTCGAAAATTTATTTGTAACCTAAAAATCAATTTACTTTAATATTAAAAACTAATAAAACCAAATGTATACATCCGTCTAGTGAACGTAATTTTACTTTCTGTTTTGCGCTTATATCACTGAGACAACAAATGTGAGTATGGCATACACAGATATTCTTGATAAAAAAAAAATATAATAAATAATTTAGTTCTTATAATTAATACTTGCCTACGTCAAATCTACCTTCAAAACGCAAATTACACACGAAAACGGACTTCACGATCGTAAAACTTAACAGCCGGCTAGTGCTTGTAATAATTAAAAAGTCATTTCTATATTATATAGTTTTCAATACTGTCATGGTTAGTTAAACTTACATTTTTTTAAATAAATTAGAATACCGAATCAAGTTTCCATTAAAACAATGTCCTATGTACGGTTACACAGATAGCAGTATAATATACATCTTTATTTTATGTAATTGATTTTAATATATTCATTAATTTTTTCTATCACTTACCTTGTAAATTATGTTGGATTAATTACAATTTTGAGTATAAATTAATTGAGACGATTTATTCCTACTCGTGAAACTATAGGATAAATAAATTGATCTACAGTTATGGATTTGTGAAGGATTTTAGAACTTTCACTTAATAGAAAACAATTTTTCATTTATTTTTTAAACATTATTTTCTATTTATTGTTTTATGAGTACTAGTATAATGATAAAAAATAATAATAACATTTTTAAGGACAAAACTGCTAAAGACAAGTCTGTTTTTACACAAATAAAAAGAAAAAAAATTACATGAGTATAATAATTATAAAGCGTCAAATACTATAATATGTCAATAATGTAAAATGTGTTGCAATTATTTTAAAGCTATTGTATTGAATGTATGAACTGAAAGCAAAGCATAATTTAAAAAAAATATAATAATTAAACTATTTATATGGGCAGTAATTATAGTATAGAAAATTGAGGTATAGTCTCTTAAAAAATTATATATATATATAAAAAAAAAAAATTATAATACACAAGTCTAGTTGTTTTTGACTGAATACGAAAAGAAATCAAATAATGTTTAGTGAAAACTTGTATTTCAAATTTGTAGTCCCCCTAAACAATATAATATGCCTCCAGAAGTAGGGGGAAAAATTTTGGTAATGTTTTAAAAATAAATTTTGTCAAATTAACAAGATAAAAAAATTAAGAAAAAATAACAAAAATTTTAAAGTTGATAATTTTAAGCTTTTAACTAAAAAAAAAAAACAATTTATTAACACAGCTCTTATAGCTTTCTGATAAAGATATATGAATCGAAAGACAAGAAAGAAGTAATAATAATAAAAAAAAAATATATCTAAATAACAATGAAATTAGGTAACATGAGCGAGAAATTGAGATACTAATGGCAAGTACTAAAATATTTTAGAACTACCATTTGCGATCAGTCACTGACATCAAGTGTACAGCGCTTTCGCTCTCGCCCCATCCAGTCGTTCGTGCCGACGCCCTTACGTCTGTAACTGTTGCGGGTCCGATTGCGCTGACCCCCCTCTTTCTGGAGACTTTTATCAGACCTCTTTTCGCCTGAAAAAAAAACAATACACTTTAACAAATAATTAAGTGAGTTAACTGAGAGACTACAATACTTCATAATTGGAACTAAATAAGAATTAAAATATAAATAAATACAACACAACATACATTTAATTTATCAATAATACAAAATTATATAAAATATAAAACTTTAAGTTATATAAGATATTCAAATTAGTCTGATTGGTGAATTTCTCTACCATTTATCAGAACTCCTCTTGGTGATATAATTAACAGTAGTAATAGTCAGTTTTATTTTCTAAGACTTGCCTTGTTTATCTTGTAAACTTCCCATGGCTTGAAGCGCCGCTACTATTTCCAGTTGCGCCGACTCGGCCACCACTGCCATTTCCCCATGACCGATTATTTGGCGCAACTCCGTGCCATTGTCTATTTCCAGTAGACGCTGTTCCCCAAGGGCCGGCAGCCCCAGCATCCCAGCGGCCTGCAGGCCACATCCATGAATTAAATCCCCATGGCCAATCTAACAAAAAAATAACATGAAAAATAACCAACCAAACATAAACTAAAATTAGACTAAATAATTCAAAATGTTAATTTTTTTTTTTATATATATATATTAAAACCAGATCTGCAAGCACAATTCTTAATACAACTGTTTTATACATAAACAATAATATATTTTACTAAATATTCATGTTTAAATTAAACTTTAAGCTACTTTCAATGCTTATTAATACATTTAAAACAATAAAATCTAATTAATTATACAAAAGGATTGTATCTACTAAACAATCACAAATTCAATAATTTTAAGAGGATGTTTAGTATTTTTTTGGTACTATGGAAATTTTACTAAAATTCCACAGAAGTATTTTTAGTTTCTCCCAATAAAGAATAGTATTGTGTACAAAAATATAAAAAAAACAAATAATATTTTGTAAACACCCTCTTAAATACAATTTGTACAATTCACACATGTTGCATAAAATTACCATCATTATTTCGGTTGAATTGATACATTTACTGACAAAACACATACTGTCAGGCATCATGGAAAAAACTATCTTGTCGTTATTTGAGTAAACAAAGTCGCCACAATAATAGTAGTCGCATAAAATATTTGGAAGAAAAATAAATGCGGTTGGAATCATTGTGTACTCTGGATGCCGTGGAATAAAAATAACATGCAAAAGAAATGAATGGAGTGTAACACCTGGAGTAGGATCACAAAATGGGATATTTATTTTTCATTTTTCTGCTACTTGTTTTTAAACCATCAAACGAGGCTTCATTAATTTTATATAGCTGAAAGATAAAAAGTAGGAAGAGGAAAAACAATTTTTTTTTTGTTTTATTTTTATCTAAATATTTTATATGTTAGTATATTTACATTCAATAAGTTCAAGATATAAGGTACAACAGCATACTAAATAGGTATAACTGTATTATTATAACCTTGAATGACTTAATCTCATGATAGTGATTATTTAAGTTAAACTAATTTACAAAATACTTTTTTTTTATAAACAAGTATTTGTGTATCTAGAATAACAGTATAATATATGATAGAAAAAAATATACAGAATATTTGAATATGCTTATTTTGGAATTAATTTCCTTTAGTGTTGTGTTGTCACAAATTAAGCAATATCAAATTTTTTAACATGAGGTACAACATTAAAAAAAAAACTTGTCTTGTTACTTTTATCTACCTATACAGTTAATTTTATTTTAAGAAAAATCATTGTATGAAAATGACAAAATACTAAATAATGATATTAATTTGCCTAATTTATATTTTATTATTTTACAACTGCACAAAAGAATTATGTTATGCCCACCATATATTATCTGTTTGTATTATTTGTAACATAAAAATAAAAAGAACACAAAATTATAAATTTAAAATTGGTTAATATTATGATATCTTGTATTAACTTTAAAACAAAATTATTTTTATAAAAACATCAATTTAAAATTTTGCTCTTAATATTTAACTTTTATACATTTATGCATTATTTTTTATTATCTTTAGTTTCTAATAAATTATAAATATTCAACAAAAAATAAAACAATCAACAGCAGTTTAAACAAGATAAATTTTAAGAACAAAATATTTAGTTATTTATTTTTCTAAATGAAAATTATTAAAAATGTAACTATAACGTGCAAACATTAATGTGCATGCATCATAATATTATGTTATTACCTCAGACCAATCCCAATACTGTTATCAATAAACAAATAAAATATTGAAAATGAAAATTATGTAGGGTTATAGCTTTGAATTATACACTATAATATTAAAAAATACTTACCGAAGTCACCTCGACCAGCCATACGTAGATTATTTGAAACAGCACGATAGCCAGGTCTTGGAGCACCCATCAATGATAAAGGTTGTGGCATCAACCTACAATCAATTACAATATTAATACATTAAGTAAAAAGTCATACTTAAATATCAAAAAACATCAAGTTTTTTAAATAGTTAAAATAATATTACAGTACAAGATAACTATCTTAAATTAACTACTTAGTCTAATTGTATAAGGTTATAAAATTGTAAATAATGTAGCTACCCAAAAGCACGGCCTTGCATATTGGTAAACATCCGACGTTCTCTAGCTCTTAATATTTCTTCTTTCTTTTTTTTATCAGATGGAGGTTTGGCTAGTGATACTTCCAAAGTAGCTCCATCCAAATTGCTACCATTTAGCTCTTCCAAAGCCTACAAAACAAATTTCATAATTATAAATAAGAAGTTGAATTCAGATTAAATACAATATTTTAAAATAAATTGATCCTAGCCATTTGTAGTGTTTTGCAAGGTAATGTGCTTAATAATTTACAAGGTCTTAAATTATGAGGATACTTGATTTTAATAAAATAATCTAAACAATCACTATTATTATTACAGTACCAGTAAAGAAAGGTATATTCTACATATTGTAAATTTAATTTTGTACTACAAGACATTAAATTAACCAAATGCTATAATAGCATTTTGAAATAAAAATGTTAGGCATAAAATATCCTGTGTAATTGTTAAAAGAAATAGATAAATGTGTTACTTTTTAATGACCCTAACACAAATTACGGATCATAATTACAAAGACCACTATGGTGGTTAGTTTGCAAAAAAAAATTTGACACTTTAGATAAATGATCTCACATAAAAAAGAAATATAGCTCATAGCTGTTTTGGTTGGGATCACAAAAAGTAAATACTGTCAACAGCACTCCAAGTAGCAAATATTAATCCATGATCGGACGAGAATACATAAGTTTTAAATACATGTTGTAAATAAATACATTGTTTCCAACAATATCGCAAACATTTGATTATATCTTCACTTCTGGGAGGGAGGGAGAAATCAAAGACAATGTTTAAGACGATGTATCATTGGTTTGGAGTTTTGGACGCAGATTTAGGATGAAATTGCTAAAACCATTTTTATTTCAACAAACATTTTTGAATGTCATACATTATTTCAAATCAGGCATTGCAGCTAAAAAAATAAAAGAATTTTTACTGTACACAGTCTTAAAAAAATATTTGTTATAAAAACATGTTATGTTATGTGGTGCCACAGTAGTAAAAACAAGAAGTACAATACAAATTTCTACCACCAATAATATTTGGACTCTATTCACCAGTCCACCAATGCTCAATTTCGTGATTCCAATTATAACACTCATTTTAACTATACATTAATATAATATGACATTCAGTGTTACCTTGAGAGCACAGCCTCTATCATTGAAATGAATAAAAGCATAATCTTTAATTTTCTTCACTCTCTCCACCGAACCATGAGCTTCAAAAGTTTCTTTAAGACGATTTTCAGTTACTTCTTGAGTTAAATTCCTAACATACAACACTTTAACCTAAAACAATAATTTATATTTTAATTTAACTATAAAAAATTATTTAAGTCTGCTAATATTTTAATACTCACTTTTGACATAGTTTCATCATCAGGTTCTTCTTGAGGATCAGCCCAATCTACAATTATATCACAGCCCCATACTTTGTAGTTTGGAGCGCTTAAGCGTCTTTTTGCAACAGAAGCAGCTTTATGAGAATCATACTCTAAAAATCAAAAACCCCGATTTTTTCGACGGTCATCGGGAGAACTATAAATTATGACTTCTGTAAGGCCACCTGAAAAAAAATATTACTACATAGTATAACAAATAAATTAATGATTTTTAGTAAATTACTTGTTATTTTGCCAAATTCTTCCATAATATCTTCTTTTCCTTTTGATTTAGGAATGTTCCCAATAAAAAGACGAAGATTAGGTACACTAATATTCACTTTGATATTTTTTCCAGGCTTTATTTCATAACCATCAAGCTGAAATCATAGATTTTATATTATGTTAAGTTACATAAACTCAACAATACTGTCAGATAGAAAAAATATTTACTTCAACAGTAGCTCTTTCAGCTTCTTCCTTGGTAGTATAAGTAACAAAAGCATATCCACGATTAGTACCAGATAATGGATCCATCATCAATCTCAAATCATAGATCTTGCCACACTTTTCAAATAGTGGTATCAGTTCATCTTCAAACACAGTATTTGGCAACTTTCCACAAAACACCTAGGATTTAAATTAATTTATAAAATGTGTTACACTATAATACTTTAAATATTAATTTACCTCACAACCGGCTGTTGGCTTAGGATCAGTCCAATCAGGTGGGGGACCATACTTTCGCTGCCCAGTAGTCACATCAAATTTATAGTTAGTTCTAGCTAATATTTCCTAAGAATAAAAAAATGAGTTAAAAATACTTATTTAGTTACTGTGGAGTCATAAAAATATACCTTGACTTTATCAAATTCTGGCCCTTTGGGTGGTTGTACAAAAGGCTCTTGAGGAGTAATTCTTGTTTTTTGTCTATAAGTTTTCATTACTCCACATAAATATGCAGACTTATTGGAAACATGTAATAAATTGCTATCAAGGAATTGAGAAAGAACTCCCAAAGCTGCGTCCACAGGAAATTCTTTTAATGCATCCAATGCTCTAGTATCCAAATCAGAATGTGCTAGTTTACCTAAGAAAATCATTTAAAATATATAAAAATTGATTACTAACTGATACTAAGATTATAACAAGAATATGTGGGTAATAAAATGTAAAATATATTTTGAAAATATAAGGAATACTAGTAAGAAACTAAATGTTCATAATAAAACATTGAAGTGTAAATAAACCAGGTACCTAATAGGTATAAAAAATTATGATGGTTATTATTCGCAAGAAATATTTTACCAATTAATTTCAAACTATGATTTCTGGTTTACGTTAATTACTCACAACGCCTATAAAATAAATTCTATTTAATACAATAGATAATAAAATGAACAAAAACATTTAAATAATCTAAATGTTTACCACAGTAACCCATACTAGGGGTCTATTGTTATTGTTTTGTAACATATTTTTAATTTTGTTCACAAATGCAAACAGTACTGTGGTTATTATATGAAAAGAGTCAAAAGTTGAATTTATATCCAAGCGCTGAATATAAATTAGTTTTGAATGATTCTAAAATAATTTAATAAAAATATAAGGTTAATTGTCTTAAGATATTATATAAATAAATTACATCAATAAATCATATTAAAGTGCATAGGAATGTTATAAGATATTTAAAATTGACAGATATTATAATTTAATTAGATAACAAATATCCTAAACATGACTATGTTAAGATAATAACCTAAGAAAATGTTATAATATCAATTAGTTGACAGAATTAACACATAATTCAGTATTGCCCCCTCTCAACAAAATGCACTTCTGAAATATTTCATACATGATAAATCGTACTTAAATAATTTGAACATATTTATTTAACATACAAAAACCTATTATATTATGATATATTAAAAAACAACTTAGTAGGTCTGAATACCTGTAAACATATTAGGAGCTACCTAATTTTTAGGTAAAACAACTATACAGATTAGATTGGCCACACAGATACAAATTAACTAAACATTATCATCCAAGATGACCATATCTAAACAAAACACAGAAGGTTTACAGATGAATGCCCCAATCTACATCACATTGGATTCCTACAGTACAATCAAAATTTTCCTGTGCACACGAGTTAAAATACTGTCTATTAAGATGTATTAGGTCCTAGGTACAATTGATGGGTGCACTTTTTTTAATCAAACGCCTGCAATGGGAAACTCAATAGTGAATAAAAATGTAATATGCACAAAGTCTTACCGCTTTTATAAATTTCGTCAAGCCTGTCGGCAACCGATTCGTGTATTCCGTATTCGAGTAGCTTTTTGTGGTCATCAGACTTCTGAGCGTCAGCGGGCGATTCGTCCGCGTTTTCGTCGAACCTGGCGTTATTGACTTCCATACCGGACTGAAAAACGTCAAAAACACACCTAACGTGAGACGGGCGAAAAGGTCAAACGGCCGACAGACAGGGCTAGGAAATCGGGGCGGTACAGCCGTTTCGATCACCATATTGTGACCGACAAGTGTAGGCGGCTTGGGCGGTGTGTGAGAGCTAACTCACAAAATAATATCGGCGTCTCCTGAGGAAGTAAAGTGGATCCCTGTCGTGGCAGTAGTCGTTGTGGCGGCGGCTGTGGCTGCGGCGTCTCGGCTTTCAGCACGCGCGTATCATCTGGCACACACGGAGTTTGGAGGAGGTATCTATTGGCTATTTGTTAATCTGTGGTGCAGATTACTTAGCATAGCCAAAGAAGAATGAGAAAAGGACTGAAGAAGACGAACAAGGCGACAACGGATGCCGGTATGCGTGTGTTGGCGCGCACGTCGCGTGCGTGTGCGTGCGTTCGTGTGAAGCCGGAGCGGTTACAAATTACAATAATATCGCGTCGTTATTCGTCTGGCGGACGCACTCGGTCGATCTGTCGCTGGCGTAGTGACGTGTGGTAACCGGAGGCGGCCGGCGTCACCGCGGTGCAGAAAAATGTCGTTAAAACTTTGTCGCGTCGTGCGGACCGAGCACGGATTTCGAGCGGCTGACGACAGTGCGTGCGCTAGTACTCAGGGCGGCGGCGGCAGTAGCGGAATCTCGCCGATTACCGAACGGCAAGGGGTTAGGAATTGGTCGAATTCGGCAAAGTGACGCTGCCGCTGCGGGAGAATGGTGTACGCGGTATAATATCTCGGTATAATGTGGTATTGGTCGGTATATGCAGTGGGATGACGGGGACGAGAAATAAAAAAGTAAAAAAAAAAAACAAACAAGTGGAATAAAAAAAAAAATGTTAAAAAACAACGATCCAGGAACCGTTTTTCGCAAATTCAAGTGTCCCCATTGGTCGAACCGGGTGTAACGGCTCTTGCAAACCACACTGGTGCCAACCGAAACCGGTCGCAGCCGCGCGCTTTTCTTACGTCGTCAGCTGCAGCACACATACATTACGTTTTAATATTGTGCATTCGTGTACACAATAATATCGTATTTTATCGTAATTCGTACTACAAATAAAAATTCATACACAATACACGGATACACCGCCTCTAGTGACACTAACCCGTTCGCTCCCACACACTCATTCTCTTCTTCGAAATTTTCTTTTATTTCCCTTCCGCCAAACCCCCCTCGCTATACTAATACTACGTCACCCTTCGCAAATTTGAAACCGCGATTGTTGACTGCGGGAGCATTTTTTATTCTTACCCTCCTGTTGCACACCCGTCTACCGACCGACCAACAACATATAATATAATAATATATTATATACATGACATGGACTCTCAATTCTCATTGCTATATCGGTCCATTTTTTTTCTTTCGCATACATACACAATAGACCATATTATATTAATATATATTTATATATATAATATCTGCAATATATTTATTTATATAATATACGGTTATATTATTATATTGTCCCCCGCGCCGTTATTATATTATTATTATTATCATTATTATTATTGCATTTGCGTCTTTATCTTCAAGCTTCAGCCGTTGTATAGACCGGACGCGAATTTCCCATGGACCTTTCTGCAATTATTGTCCTCGTAGAGCTGCTGACGTTTTATATAATATACTTTATTGCCCACCTTAAATACCTGCCCATATATACGTCCAAGTATAATAATAGAATGTAGGTACACCAGCAGCTATGTATATAAATGTATATTTATTATTTATATATAAATGCATAATACATATACATGAGTATATGATATATATTATACACCCCATAGCCCATGAGGTACATATATGTTATTGCCGGAGGACCGAGCCGCTCGCGACCTTTGAATTTTAGTATTTTTACGGTCACCCATCGTAAAAACCTCGTCTATTAAACGTTGCACAATAACAAAGCACATACATACTATTATTATCATTGTTAGTTGTAGACCGTATACTACTGTAGTAGTATTTTACGTTTCCAAACACTACTCGTCTAGTATATTATAGATAAATCTAATAAAAATCTATAGTAGAATACAAATGTAAATCGAGTCCCCCTCGATCGACTCGCAACGGACACGATGTGAAATATGTCCGTACGTGTGAAACGGATTCCCCTTACCTGCCTAACCCCAATGGATCCATCAAGGAGACGTTATTAAATATTACAACAATATGGATTAGTTTACTAAAAATTTCAACGGTTTTGAAATTTTTTGGAAAACTTCAGAACCTAAATAGGACAATAGGTACTCCAGTAATCTAACAAATAAAAACCCCCTTTTTTTCATAAGTTGTCGTCTTGTCGACACTGTTTGCTATCATAAAACGCGTCCCTTAATATTATCATTCCTTAAATCATGTCAATATGCCATCAGCCATAATGTTGATTTAAAAAAAACCGGAATTCTAATTTCTGACTTTCTGAGCCGAAATATCTGTTTTTGTTTAACGTTAATTCATAATATATTATTCATACAAAATTTAAATTGTTTATTTCGGATAACAGTAAAAATGTCTGACGTTGTTCTAGTAGAATCAGTAAGTTTCCCTTAACATTTTTATTTAATATTTAGTATTTTTATGTAGGTAAATACAAAATGTTGTAGTTATATGTTTCCAAAATTGCTTTCATACAAAATTAAATAAATGTATATTTTCTTTAGGATGATACATCAAGTATAGATAGTTCAAATACTGATCTCACAACACGAAGCCATGAACCAGCTAGACGTGGTCGAAAAACCAAATCCAAACCTTCCAATAATACCAAAAATGTTAAGCTTCAGTACAAATTTTCGTATGTATTAAACTCCTATTGATACATATAATTTGTAATAAGATATATACACTAAACATAATTTTTATTTTAACATAATCGTAATTAACTTAAACTAATAATTTATTTTTATGATGAATTTTTCTATCAAATCATTTTTTTTTTTACTTTAACAATAATTATATAATATTATGTTGAATAGAAAAAAAATCATACATTTTATTATTAAAATACAGTCCCTAGTGGTAACTAACAATGCCATTCTGTACAATTAAGTTATGAATTTATGATTAATCGAACCACACTAAGGTCTATGACATCAGTAATTCTTGTCTTGGAAGACTATTCCTTTTAATATAAATAGATTTTTAATAAGTGGGTTTGAATAAAATGTAAGGTTTTCAGTATTTTTATTTACTTTTATTCTTCATAAATTTTTTTATATTGATACCATTATTTTATTTATCTTTATAACATTTATTTGTTTCATAAATGTTTATAATAGATGTGCATTAAGAGAAGACCATGGTCAATCACTATTTGGTGTTCAATTTAATCATTTATTAAATGAAGACCAGCCATTGATATTTGCATCTGTTGGCAGTAATAGAGTTTCAGTTTACCAATGTTTAGATGATGGTACTATTAATTTATTGCAAAGTTATGCAGATCCCGATGTATCCTTTTAATAAATATTAAATAATAAATAAATATAATATATTATATTATGTTTATAAATTAATTATTATTTTATTTACTGTGACTATCTAATGATCTAATGAAATTATATTTTTTGTTAATTATCCTTAATATATATTGTATATTTGTAGACAAATGAAACATTTTATACTTGTGCATGGTCTGTAGATGAAAATGGCAAGCCGCTTTTGGCTATTGCCGGAAATCGAGGCATCATACGAATACTTAGTCCAGTCACTATGTCATCTATTAGACATTATATTGGTACACATAGATTATTTACTAAAAAAATTACTTGTTAAATATATAACCTTATATATTATCCTAGGTCATGGACAAGCAATTAATGAATTACAATTTCATCCAATTGATACAAATATGTTGCTATCAGTATCTAAAGACCATACTTTACGTTTATGGAACATCAAAAGTGATGTGTGTATTGTTATATTTGGCGGCGCTGAAGGCCATCGAGATGAAGTTCTCTCTGCGGTAATTTAAATGATTCGCTATGTTATTATATTTTTTTTAAAGTTTATTTCACACATTTTACCTGATTCATACCTTAATAATATTACCTTATATAATTACTAGTGCTATACTATAGTATTTTATTTTCATTTTTAATGTAATGTAAAAAAAAAAGGCTTTGAAAAAACTGGTAGGGAGTCTGTTATTTAAACGCTAGGAAATTTTTTTCTGAAAGTTGTATGATTATTGAGCCACTAAAATTTTACATTTATACATTTATAACAGGTAGATTACCTATTTATTGGGCCACTAACTTAAACAATTTTTTCATTATTGAATTGGGGTGGTAGAAATTTACATTAAAATTGGATTAATAGGAACATTAAAAGGCTGATAACAAACTATATACTCAGTTTATACTTAGGCACATCAGTTATACTTTTTTGTAGCATATACTCATCGTTTTCATTATGGCATCCATTTTTATGAGTTTTCTGAAACTTGGAGCTTTATAAAAAAAATGTAGAAATTAATTGTAAACATATTGCACTTTTTATAAAACCTATATTCTTGTCGTTCACATTGGAAAGTCTGACATAAGCAATTATTACATTATTATATTAATACTAATAAACATATAAAAAATTATGTTTTTCTTTTAATACATAAGTACTTAATATGATTCAATAATATTTTTAGTATAATTTAATTTGCTGTTTTTGCTGCCTGTCCCAGATCTTCTTGATGAAATAATGGCAACACTAGCTGTATTAGATTATATTACTATGTATAATCATTTTGATTGGATTATTTGATTATAAATTTAGGATTTTAATATTGATGGTAATCGTATAATGTCATGTGGAATGGATCATTCATTAAAGCTTTGGAGTTTAGACAAAGACTATATCCAAGATGCTATTAAACAATCTTATTCTTTCAATCCAAATAGATCTGCTCGACCTTTTGATACTATTAAAGAACATTTTCCTGTATTTTCAACACGTGACATACACAGAAATTATGTTGATTGTGTAAGATGGATTGGTGATTATGTTATTTCCAAAGTAATTATTGCATTATACATTTTTTTAAGCCATGTTATTATTTAATAAAATGTATAATTACATATTACAATAAAACTGAATTTTAGTCATGTGAAAATTGTATGGTTTGTTGGAAACCTGGTCATCTAAAAGATACCGAACTCAAACCAAATGAAGCTGCTGTATCACAGATATGGTACTATGACTTTAAAGATTGTGATGTATGGTTCATTAGATTTTCCATGGATTTCTCCCAAAAAGTATTTATATAACAATAAAATAATTAATGTCAAAAAAATTAATAAGTACAATTTTTTTTCAATTTAGATATTAGCACTAGGCAATACCATCGGTAAAATATATGTTTGGGATTTAAATTCTAATGACCAAGCGTCAATGCGTGTAACAACATTAGCTCATCCAAAATGTAATACAGTTATACGTCAAACCACATTTAGTCGTGATGGAAATATTTTGATTTGTGTGTGTGACGACGGTACCATCTGGCGTTGGGATCGATTACAAAGTGTTTGAGTAAACAAAAAAACTATTATTTTTATATCCCTTTTTATAGTATTGTATTTTATTTTTGGCTTAAATTTATTTGTTTATGACTATTCTTTGTTCATAGTACTAAGTACTCTTGATTAGGTTAAGATGACTCCTTTCTACGCTGAAACATATTTGTGTAAATAGTATTAAAAAACAAAATAATTATGTTATTTTAAATACTACAATAAATGTAATATTTGTTTATGTAATGTTGTTTTTCATTATATTTATCATCATTTTTCATGATGAAGAATTATTATTCCTTATTCCTTAGTATTTAATGTTTGCGTACATCTATATTAATATTTTCATTCTTATTGAAAGTTTTGCATATCGCAGAGTTAACAAATAGAGTAAAATAATAACTCTACATTTCACATGAAGATATGATTAGCTTTTTATCAAATAATCTTATAGATGTTTTTATTCATAAAAAACGGGTAAGTGGATGTCAATCTTCTACACAGTATAGGTCAAAAGTGGGTCACTGTAATGGATAGTGTTAAATGTGAATTCAACGATATAAAATCATTGTATAAGAAAAACGATTCTGAGGGCAGCCTATAATATTACTTGGTAATTTAGTATATTAGATGATATTATTGTGATAAAAGTAATTTATTTTACTATTAAGTATTAGCATTGCAGTAGATTAAATTCATATTTACCAAAACAATTACATTTCAAAAGTCATTGTGTGTATAAAATATATAATATACTCAAAAAGTTTCAAGTGCCCACGAATAATATTTTTAAATTACAATAAAATAACTTAAATCATTATTCTTGGTTAATTGATAATATGTAATTTCATCCAAATTTGAACATAAAATAATATAGAAAAAAACTGTATTAATATATTTTTAAAACTTTTTGGGTACAGATTTAACTACTTGTGTGGGTCTTTGTTTAAATTTTTGAAAATATATTATAAAATATTTAACTACAAAATAGGTAATTTGTACATTTTGTAGAAATTTGAACTTTAAATTCTTATAAAACAAAATCGTGTACACTGCCTAGTATTTTTTAATATTTCTTAACTGATATTGTATCAAATTTTCAAGGAACCCTACAAATAAAATTTACTTGAAATTAATAAAAAAAAACTACTATCAACTTTTTTTTTTAATTTCCATCACCAACAACTTACAAGGAACCTTGTATCATATTTTCAAGTTTGTGAAAAATTGTTTTACCGACATAAGCAGTGGCGCCCAGATAGGTTAACAAGGGGTGCTACTGCATGTGCTCTCGTGGAAGGGTGGGTGGGTAGGTATAGACGCCTATATATTAACAGTTAGTAACAGTTCAAAAGAACGTTTTTTTAAATAAAAAAATGGGCGGGTGGGTAACTTTTGTTAGTTGCATGCGCTCTCAAAATACCTCTGTGCGCCACTGGACATAAGCTTAAAACATCTAATAATTATCGACAACTTCATATGCATATAGGTAGTTGAACAAGAGTCAAAATGTTTTGGAAATTGTATGATGAATAGAAAATGTCTGATTTTAATATTCAGTGAAATTTCATGAATCTACAGTAAATTTTTTTAGAGTCACACTAAAAACCAAAATCGCAGTTTTCATTAATTTTTTGTTGCTTTATTCTGTCAAGACTTTTGAAAATTATTAGAAATTCATTACTTTCACCCCATATCGGTCTATTTTATTTTATTTTTTTTTTATTGGTCGAAATCTAAAGCATCAGCAACTATGGCCATTAGCATTTGGTTATGGGGATGGGGGTTACAGTTAGGTTTGAGTAACATGTGTGTCATTGAGCAGAGATTCATCACTAAAATCCTAGGTGGTCATGCATCCAGGATCTAGCGACGTCAGACGATGTTTGGTCGAAAGAATGCATGTAAATTCCGCCCAAAAAATGCTATGTATTTTTCAATCACGCATAGTACAATAATATTGTACTTAAGTGCCTATTTGCAGTATGGCTATGATTAACATTTTGTTCAAAAACGTTTGTAGTTTCACCAAAGATTTTCACAAAAGCATTGGCAGTTTTTAATTATACATCGCCATCTTGTTAACCCAGAAGCCAAAGGTCTATTTACTTTAGAAAATTTAAAATTGTCTAATACCAAAAGTATGTTTCCACATTCTGATTCGATAAATTGAGATGCCACTATAGGTAGATGCGTATAAGACTCAAGAACGTGTACTGAACATAAAAACCTCATAATTCTAAACGAAACTCGGGTAATTCAAGCAATTAATAATATTTCTATCTAACATTTCCAATTATTAGATCCACGATAATGTAGTAAAAGGTGATAAGATATGACATGATTGACGATTTTCGTCTGAGACTATTGTTATTTGTTCCTTGTTTGAAAATTTGGACTTCCAAATACTTTATAACACGCCCCGTCGCAAACAGTACCTACGGGAACGAGAACGCTTTGTTTAAAAATATTTATTTTTCTGGGTGGAATTTACAAACACATTTTTTTTATTATACAAGTAAAAGCGTATTAACCGTACACCTATTAAACATCAATTTCAATTATGGTTTATTTTATTTTTCATTTAGACAATAACATCAATTAAACTAAAATGTATGTCCCTAAATAATGTTCCTAGGTGTGTATTTATAATTTATGTAATTATTATTTTTCTACGACCAAGGCACGGCTAAACGTTGACAAACTTTGTAGTTTTTGTTATTCAAACTAGCTTATTTAAAGAATTCGGCGCTCGGAAAGTCCGAAAAGTAAGTTCAAGTTCCAAAGAATATGAAAACGATATAACTTTAAAAATCGAAACTTATAGCAAAATTCTAACCTAACCTAGACTACAGCAGTCTTATACTCTTATTTTTAAAAATGTTTGACAAATGTGTTTTGGGTATTTTTAGGCTGCTGTAAGACCAATTAATCAGAGTCTTTACATTAAATTGATAGGATTTCTTTTCAAAAATAAACATTTTATAGTACGTAAGGAAAAATACTATTTACAATGAATGTTAATAGTTATATTATAATAGCTATTAAAATATCTATTATTTGAATTTATTTGAAAAATAATGATTCAATAATGGTTAAGAAGTTAATATTAAGAGTAGTATTCGTGTTCTCTAACAAATTGTTCATTTATTATTCATAATTTAATTTACATTTATATTTTTGGAATTAATCATAATTATAACGATTCATTGTTAAGTAAATTGCACATGTTTTTCGAAAAAAAGTGTATTTTTACAGTGAAAAATAATAATATTATAGTAAACTATTCCATACCTACATCTAGTGAATATACTACGCTAAAATAGATGTAAATACTAAATATTATTAAGTACGAACTACGAGGTGTACCTACAATGCATATAAAATATAAAGATTAATAATATATGGTTTTGAATACTTCGAGCAAGCCTGTGTTACCCGGCGTATAGTATAGGCAAAATGGGTTACGTATTGGTGAAATGAAGACGGCGTTTGAATTGTTGCCGTGATATTTAATATTAAATGTGAGTCTAAAAAGTACATTGAAGCCCCAAAATATTGAGAAAACAAACTTACGCGTAAACATTGATTTTTCCGGCGAACCACATCTAAGATGCATGCGTGCAGTAGGTACACTATACCGCCAAACAAACAGCTACCTATCTAAGTATTCGTCTTCGTGTCGTTCCGATCTGAAACTTGAAAGTATCGAGATATTTTATGAAAATAACCCGAACCTAACGAAATATGTTGATATGTGTTATATTCAATACAGCTTAACAACTTGTCCGATTTTTGATGCAAAATGTATTCACTGAAATTATTAAAATTGTTAATCGTCTCCAATAAATGGGGACAATTGGTGATTTCCATAGATGTCAGATATTAAAATATTATAAAATCCATAGACCTTATATACTCAATATGTAATCATAACACATTACTTTGCATTTACTAATTTACTATGCGGATAAAAAAATATCTTTTTTTCCTGTTTAATTGACAGCAGAGGTGGACTATCTGTTTTAACAATACTATTTGTCTGCGATAGTGCGGACGTGCGGTCATCGTTTATTGGCGAATAGATTAAAATATATACAATAAATAACATGGGTATAAAGGTACCTAATTCGCTCAAACGCATGACCCCTAACTCGACCACCACATCTCGGGCACATCACCGGTCGAGTTCTCGACTGTTGGCGAAGTGCCATGTCGTCATGTCGATGTCACAGACAAGTTGCTGGCATACAAAGACCTCATACCAAGTAGGTAGGTACAAGGTCTATGGTGGTACCTATATATTTTTAATTTGATAATAGTGTAACAAAAAAACATATGTAAAATAAAATGATAAGAGATTAGAGATAAAAAAACAACAAATGTTTGTAGATTCAAGATTGTGATTTGTGCTTTATTAGGTACTGGGTAATAACAAAAGTTGCGTATGTAATAATTTTCTTTGGATTGCATCACAAACAATAGGTTTATTAAGTCAAAACGTAATACATTTAATACCATTTAAAAAATCACTAAACCATACAAATTATGAGACGCATTTTGTTTTAAACTATAAATAGTCATGATGACTGAATGTAAAGTCCCTGTATTTGTCAGTCCCCAATCGTTAACTTTTAGTTTGGAGGACAAGTCATCCCACAGGCAAATAATTACGCTATTTAATCCATACGACTTTCCAGTCAGATTTAAAGGTAAATTCAATGTACATTTTTTTTATTTCTATTTGTGTTTTTATGATATTATTTGTTCATAGTTTTTTGTACATGTACAAAAAAGTATACTGTAGTTGAACCAGAAGGTTCAATAAGTGCAAGTTCTCGAGTGGATATAGTAGTCAGGCATAATGCTCCTGCACCAGCATTTTGCGATATCAGAGATAAATTCAGAATACAAATGCAATATTATACAACCAAAAAAGTCATTGGACACAAAGATGTTGAAACGATATTAGTAAGGTCTTCCGACAATTTTGAGCTACCAGCTGAAAATTTTAAGCAATTACTCAGAACTGATATATCTGTTGATAATTATGATAATGAATCTGAAATAAGACAAAACTTTAATACAAGTGAGCTATTTTAAATTTAAATTATAATTGGTAATGATCGCTTCTATTTAGTTTTAATATAATATTTTATGCATTATGATTAAGACCTTGAATTTTATTGAAAAATAAATAAATTCTTTAATCTGCGTTATTTAATATTTTCCAACTTAATGTTTTATTTTTACATTCAACTTTAATAAAACGGCTAGTGTCTCATTAACTCCTACTTCATCATATCATTGTTAAAATATAACTAGTTATTTGAATTTCAATTTTTTTATTTAAATGTATCTCAATTCTAAAATTTATTAGAATGCCTTATCAATATTGTCTTTGTCGCCATATCCTATTCAGTTATTTTAGGGTTCAGTATTTGCCCCTAGAATTTTTAATTGTAAATGCAATATCTGTATGTTCATTTTTTTATGGTCAACAAAGAACATCAATAATCTCTTTGAATATTAAGAGGACGCTATACACCCTCATACATTGTCATTTATCACTGTACTACTAACACATAACAAAGCAAATTGTATGTTCTGAATAATCCATTTAACTTAATTATGTTTAATACTACAATGGATTTAATAAATTTAATCAACTTAAAACCAATTTAGAAGAATAATAACGTGGTTTTTTTTTATATTTTAATTTTACTAACAGTTTTTAAAATTGCTGTAACTTGTTTTAAAAATAAAATGTAAAAAAATTTTGTGAAATGAATCACTATATATTATTCTAACTTCTAAAGTTGATAATAGGTCAATTTATCATAATATTGAACATACCAGAATTAAGTGGATTATTCAGAAAGTACTATTTGCTATGTTATGTGTTTTTATGATTGAGACAAAAATGCAAGCAGATGTATTAATGTTTAATTCTTAATTTCAAACATTTAAATAGACATTTTTAAGTGCTCCTGTTAAATATTCAACATAAATAATAAAAATTATTTTTGTCATCTTTTAAAAAATATTTTAGATACTCCAGGACCAAATTTCACAACTCTATTTATGGCTGGTATATGTATTTGTGGATTACTTCTACCATCATCTGAAGATTCAGACATTCTGAAATTTCGTATTTCTTTCAATTTAAAATTAGCATTAGCTTTTGTTTTGGGTAAGAATGTATGTTATAATTGACTAGAATTTAAGTAGCACTATTATAGCCTTTTAATACTATCATAAAATATGAACTGTGTCTCATCTAATATTTATTATTTCAGGTATGACTACAATAACAATATTACAACATCAATAATCCACAACAATATTTTTACTTATGAATCCGCTTGTTAACAATAGTTTGAAACTGTTTTCTACTCAATATGCATGGTTTAATTATTAGTTATTAGATATTAATTTATTCTGAAAGCATTAATCTTTTTAATAGATTAATCTGCTATGTTTTTGCTATGCATTTGAATGTTTTGATATAATTTATTGTTGATTATAGTTTTAAGATTTCTATTATTCTTCAAAGATTATTATCAACCTTCAAGAATTTCAATGCCATACAATTTGCACTAATGGATAAATACATGTATTAAGGCTATAATATATTTTTTTGGATAAACACTGCCACCATATTTTTTAAGGATATTTTTAAATGTTTTATCCGCCATTGGATAATTGGGTTGTAAAAAAAAATTGTAAATAATAAATTGTATTTTAATTTTTTTTTAATTAATATTTAATTAACTTTTTCAATAAAGAATTTTTTATATTTAATTCATGTTGGTTTTAATTAGTGTAATTTACATCTTATAAACACTAGATACCGATTTGATACTTTCATTATGTGTTTTATATTCTAGAATTGTATTTGGTGGCAAATTTAATACTCTGCGTAGTGTATCTCTTATTCTGTTAGTAGCCCCTTGATCATATGAAGTCTTGTTCCAAATTGATATTATATCTTCCTAAAATAAATAAGTGTTATTATTAAACATACAAACATTAAATTAGAAAAAATGTGAGCCAGCTTACTTGAAATCTCAAAGAAACAACAGCTCCACATATCTCATCACCCACCATAAACTGTTCACCTAACATTGCTAAAATGAGATTCTCCCAGCATCTGGATGCTAGGCCTTTACGTATTCGTAAAACCCATTTTCCTCCTCGGGCATTTGATTCATCCTAAAAATGGAAAATCGAATAAAAAATTACTTTAAATATCTTACATTAGTTTGTCAAAAACTTAAATATGACCAATAAAATTACCTCCCACATTGGTTTGATTCCGACTTTAAATAAATGGAATTCACTGTGTGATTGCAAGGCACAAGGCCTTACCATATGGCTATATATTGTCCAAAATTGTTCAACTGAACCAAACCTAGCTAGATATTTAAGATTTTGATCATAACTAGGGGTGTTTCCTGGCTTACCGGGAAATCTACGACTAAACCAAAACCAATATTGATGTTGAAGTTTATGATCTCCAGAAGGTATTGACAGTGGTATCTAAAAATATTAAAATAAGGTTTGTTTAAATTATTATATAGTAATTGTAGCATTTTCAATTAAAGTAATAGTATCATGTATTTTAAGTATCTTCAACAAAATAAGTTTAAATTACTTTTTAACAACAAAAGGTGAAGAGGCTTACTTCACTCTCAAGTTATAATTACTAGTAGAAATAATATTTTATTTAAACTGTTGTATTTATAAGTGCTAACTCATACAAAAAAAATGTGTGATATAAATAATAATACTAATAATTCTAATTAGGCTAAATTTAAAATCATATTTATGAAATTTGTTTCAATTTTAGTACCTGATATTTTATCAAAAATTGGAATACTTGTTCAAATAAATTATCAAAATATTTACCTTACTACTAACTTTAATACTAATAAATTTTCTACATCAATTAATAAAAAAAAATATATGTTTCTGATAATATAATTTAAACGTACAATTATATTTGTTCAGAACATTATGTGTAGATTGCTAGAAAACAAAGATTAATTTTTACTTCAGTATCATTATCAGCATTTCAGTATCATAATCATTGAGTGAAATATTCTTTGGAAAATCAAGATAAAAATATATTTATTTATATATAACATTATATTAAACTTAAATTCAAAAATAATTTATTGGTCGACCAATAATATTAATGGGTTTAATTTTTAAGTGAATTACCTTATAGGTTTTATGTACATCTTATCAAACACACTATTATTGTCTATTTATATTTTAAAAACGTTAAGCCATATGAACATAGAAGAAATTAATATTTAACCGTGAAACTTAGCATGTAATTTCATTAATTTATTTTAATAATTAAATTAGTTATTTGTATTATGTTAAAGCCTAATATATTTAATTTTGACAACAAATAAAAAAAGTTTGTATCATAAATAACTAATTACCTATGTCAAATTAGAAAACCTGACTTTTTATTTTCATTGATCGGTAAAATTATACACATACAAAGTTGAAAGGGAAATAACTTTTGTACAGATTACAGATCTACATTATTGAACAACAGAAAATAAATATAACTATGTGCATCAATAATTCATTAGCTTAATCATATTTATAATATTTTGACTATATCCTATACGGCTATACACATGTTCTTGGCACAATAAGATATATGTAGCATATAAGCATATAAGTATTGAAATAATTTCAATAGAGTAATAATTATTCAAATTGTTTCAATAATACTTCACATAAATTACAAATATACAATACAGTTAAAATAAACAATTTATACTGACATTAATTAATTTGTCGGCAAGCGTCATATCTTTGGATGTAGTGTTCTCGTCTTCACTCACAGTTTTCGATCTAAAATTAAAAATATTAAATTTTCAATATCTTAAAACAATTATATTAATTATAATACTAACCCTTCAAATTTACTAGCCATAGTAGTATAACTAAATACAGTAATAATAAGGTTTATTCAACTATTTCAAATATTTACAAAATATGGAACTCTAATATTCACAAAATTCACAATGGTTTTGAACACGTTATCACGGGAAATGCTCGATTTTTAGTTTATCGTGTGATGGCGATGTAAACAAAAAAAAAGAATTGTTAGTGATAAGCAGTAACAGTAATTGTATGAGATATGAGATTGTATTCTTGTTTCTTGTAATCGAATGTAGGTATGTAATGATTTCATAAAATTTGTACTTTGTGAGTTCTATTTTTAAATAATTATGACAATAGACTTATCGCCACGAAATTATCAATTATGAGTGACTCCTGTAGTGAAAACACTGATTTCTTAGTGTCGTTACCATCAGATTTCTTTCAAGTCCACACTTCAGACAGTGAAACGAATGAAGACACAGTCACTGAAGAGTTGTCGATCAGCTCAAGTAGTTTCAAAGGTGTAATTGACAATTTAGTGACAAATTTAGATACTTTATCAAATCAAATTAACGAAATAGAACAAATGGAAACTAGCTACATCAGCAATGGTCTGTCTAGTCCTCTTAGTGCTTCCTCACCTCTTAAACGAAATGCCGAAAGAAAAATAAACTATAGTTCCATTGATTCTTTGATGCATGAAATGGTCAATACTTATGAGTACAATGATAAGTTATTAAGAAATTTAGATAATAGCCATGCTCAGCGTAATGTCAGTTTTCAAGAAAAAGATGTTAAATCTCCTCTTATAACCAAAAAAACTGTTAGTGATGGATTAGAAGATAACAATTTACAGAGGTACTTATTTAATTTGTTATTTTTTTTTATATTATTGTAGGTAATATGTTTGTTTATTTAAGTTTATGTGATGACTTGGAAAATGTAACCCCACGTGTAACTACAACTTTAAATGATTACCAAAAATTGGACTCTGTTTCAAAAGAAAATTTGTGGTTGAAACTCGGAAAAGAAATTTATCGTAGACAAGTAACAATTTTTTTTGATACTCAAAGATTTTAAAATACATACAATTATGTAATAATATTTAAATAATTAATTTGACAAATTTCTTTTTTGATATATGTTGGATATACAGAATATAGAAAAAAAAGTTTTAGATTTAGAAGAGAAGTTATCAAGTTATGAAAAAAGAATAGTTGAATATAAAGAAGTAGATTGCCAAAAAAATAATCTTCTTGATGATCTTGCTGCACGGTCTGCTATGATTTTAAGTCAAGTAAGAGCATATAGTACAATCAATGAAAAAATCAACAGAGATTTACAATCTGAGCGCAAAAATAAAAAAGAAATTTTGGAAACTGTTAAAGAAAAAATCGAACATTATAAAAGTGATACAGCTAAAGCAATTTCTCGGAGTAATTCTTACAAGGCTCGAACAGAAAATGCTGAAAAAAAGTTAGATGAATTATTAATTAAATGCCAAAAAGTAGAAGAACAAACAAAACAATTACAAATAAGTTTTGAAAAAAAAAATGAAGAAAATGAATTACTACAAAATGAATTGGTTAAACTACAAGAAAAAAATAAAAGTGTGAGTTTAAAAATACAGTAGAAATTGCTTAATGCGAAATCAAAGGGACAACATAATGTGATCATAGTAACTGATAGGTTGTACAAAGTGATATAAATAATCATAGCACTTACAACTGGTACTTGTAATTCTGTGTGTATTAAGCGATATGGTGTGTTTACCGATGACGTACTAAACAATTTATACTGTAGTAGTTTAAAACTAATGTTAAGTATAAACTCAATATTATGTTTAATGTTTTAGATATCCGAAAAGTACAATAGATCAATAAATAAGTGTAGTGAGTTAGAGAAAGAAGTACTAGTATTAAGTCAAGAAAAAAAAGTACTATGTGAGAAAACTTTAAAATATGATCAACTTTTAGATCAAAAGCGTAGAATTGAAGACATTGTTGATCAAATGAAAAGTACTGAGGTATATAGATTGTATTAATAGTTATTTAATAAAAAAAAAATACTTAAATGTTTTTATTTTTATAATTATTGTACCAAAATATTATTATCTAGGCTCAAACTGCAGAGGAACTTAATGCAGCAAAAGAAGAAATTAAAACTGTAAAAAATGATCTAAAGAGCTTTTATCAAAAACAGCTAGATGCTATGCTCTCTGAAAAAGTGTCCGATTATCAGCGTAAATTAGATGGAATTGTTCAAATTACAAATGAGGAAAATAAATTGATAAAACTTCAAATGAATAACCAAATAATTAATTTAAAAGAAAGGTTCAAAAAAAAATTTAATTGCTTTAAAAATAAAAAATTTTATAAAATAATTTTATATTCAGGTATGAAAAAGAAAAGTCACTACTCAATTCAAAACACAGAGAAGAGTTGGAACGTTATGAAGTACTTATAAAAGATAAATTAGAATGTATTTCTGCTTTGGAAAAACGTTTAGAAGCCGAAGTTCAAGAAAAGCGACAATTGGTTAAAAGTGTGATGGGAGTGGTAAAAAATGTAAACATTGATAGTCAATCAAATTCAGTAAGCAAATACCTGATTTAATTTTACTTGAACTATATCATACTTTTCATATTATTATAAAACGAATGAACAGTAAATTATTTTAATTCTTATAATATTTCAGAAATTAAATAGTGATATTAAGTACCAAAGAAAAAAATCTAATAATAATAGTAACTCATCTTCAAAATTAGATGATTTTTCGTTTTTTGAACAAGAACATTTATTGCACCAAGTAACTCCAACAGAATTAAGAAAGCATATTGAAATTGTAAGTGGAGTATAAAGTTTTTATCTTTCTATAAACACAAAGCCTATATTTATTTTATTTTTCAGCTTTTAAATAAATATCCTGGAAATCCTTTGACACAAAAATGAAAATGTTGTTGTATTATAACTTGTTTATTTGAGTATTGCATAAAATTTCCAACTATATTTATAAATATTTATTGTTCCTTCACACATTAATTTATTTAAATTATATAATTTATATATACAATTCTAACAGCTTATAGATTTATATACCTTTATATAACTTTTTTTTAAATTTTATTATGTATGTTTTTTTTGTAATTATTGTCAGTCAAAATATTATTTTACAATATTAGTAAAATAAGTTAAATTATTATGTGTATTTATATTTACCATTGGTACACTAAAAATAAAATGTATATGTTTACATATTGTTTATATTATTATAAAAATATAAATATTTGCACATACAATGTTGTATGTAGACTTTTATTTAAAAATTTAATTTCTTCAAATATCAAGCATGTTAAAATTAAAATACAATATCCAAAAAAAAAGTTTATTATAAATGTATAATATACTCTCCAAAAAGCATCAGTACCAATTAAAACATATTTTAAACAAAAATTAATTTATATTAAATTAAATACTTTTAAATACTTTTTTTTGATGATTCTACTAAAAGTGTATTAGTTCTGGTTTAAATAAATTATAAAACCAATGAAAATGCTCATCATACAATTATAATGATATATTGTATCGTATCTTACCTACCTACATCATAGTTTAAAGTTAAATATTACGTCCTAGTTACCAAATTGTATCATTTGTACGTGGAATCACCCAAAATATTTCCCTTCATTAATATGTATTTATATGCATTTTAATTATATTGTATTATGGTAGGTACCTTAATATAAATAATATGAATAATAATAACTGTTTTTGATGTTACATTTTAACTTATGGAGTGTTTTAATAAATTTATTTTTTGACAAATTATAATAAGTATAAATATATAAATAATCTATTTTAATTATTAATTTTCACTACTTATACTTTTATTGATATATCTATTTTAAGTTTTAATGACCATTTATCCGGAGTGTCCCTCCTATTCGACCTGCAATGGATCGTGGATAGAAATATATACCTAATGATAACGAATTATTTCCAGCAGAAATAAATGAATAAGTGGTAATAATATTAATATTATTTAAAGTGGGTAAGCTATGCTAAAATGACTGGTTCAATCTATTACCGAAACCCTACTTTAATTGTCAACATCGGTCAGTATTTTTGATTTTATAAGCATATTGCCTTATTAGGTAGGTAAATAAGCATCAGAATTCAGCAATAGGTACACTTCGTGTAAGAAGAATATTCTTAACAAAATGTTCTTCTTTTAACAATAGATAGGTAATAGTTACACAAATAGCTACAAATTTAATATATATGTTGTACAATAAGATATTCCTAGCTTTCCCTATCAACACCGCAAGATATTAGACATAATACATGTTTACATGTTTTGGTTTATTAAATGTGATAGTTAAAATAAATTAAAAATCTGAAGTTAAGTAATAAGGATAAAAGTTAGAAGCTTAAAATTAGATTACAATGCTTCTTAAGGAATTAGGTCATGCTGGCATCAACGTCGGAGGCGGAGTTGTAGAGCTAGTCAGATGTTGATGTGGTAGTGACGGTAGTGTCAGTGGTTGAGCCCAGCGCCGGATTGAAACTTTTCGGCTCACCGAGATTTTAAATTTGTTCCAGTCCTCAACAAAGTATCGGCCCATTTGACAAAAAAAAAGTATGATCACTCGTTTAGCCTTTAAATTCATAATTGTTTCTCTAAAGCAAATTTATAATTTATCCAATATATTTAATAAAGTTACTTAGTATACTCGTTCTTAGCTATATTACTAAAAAAAAGCAAAGTTTAAGTTTAGAACTAGATACCTGCAATTTGTACTCATTTAATTTTACACTCATCAGTCATCATGTCCTTAGTATGAGTAGTATGACCATTATTTTTAATCAATTTACTATGATTTTATAATTTTAGAATTTGATTTGCTTCTAGATATCTGTTTACACAATACCTAATTAGATGTAGGTATACACAATACACATATTTCTAACACAATACATTATTTTTAAGCGGCCCATCGAGATTTTCTCGGTAGCTCGCCAGTTCAATCGGAGCCCGACTGAGCCTGTTGACTTATGGATGGATTTGAAGAAACACTCATTACTCAACTAAGTGTTTGATGTGGTCTTTAGGAATGGAATTTTGAAGTCCTTGAGTATGTTTAGGTTATTTCTTACAAACTATGGAGCGTTTGTTATAGTTCTTAAAACCTTGTTTTAGAATACTTGCAGTTTTTTAAGATGATATTGTGCTAATTTGTATTTACCTAAAATAGGGCAGGCAAAAAGTTTACTAGAAAGTGAAATTAATTTTTATGAGCATTTAAAGTTCAAATTGGTACGACATTGGATATTCAACCGTAAATTAAATACTTTTCATCAAACGATCTTCTTATTAAGTTGTAATTCAAAAACAAATAAAAGTGGATATTTAAAATTTTCCCTAAATGTTTTTTTTTATCAATTTCTATACAAGATAACATATTAAAAATATTTTAACTCTGAGGTACCTATAAAGGTTAGAGAATTTTTTTTCTATACACATCTATATAAAGGATTGAAGGTCCTCATAAGTTGTTAGAATAGCAGTTCAAAAATTGTTGTGTTGAATCTTTTTTTAGTGTAATATTTGAGTATATTATGAGTAGCCTTGTTTCACCATAATCTAAAAAAAATTTTAATAAACCCTCAAAACCTTTTTTTTTGATAATCCAAAAATAACCATTTTGTGGAGTAATTTATAGATTTATAGATGTCATAGATGGACATTGATAATACGTACATAGTAGTCCTATACTCGTATTGACTAATTATGAAATCAAATTTACGATTTTGAAAAGATATTCATACGTATAAGATACTCCTCAGTACTATATGTTAATTTTCCATCAATGAACTATTTGTTTGAATTAAATGTCTTAAATTTTAATCAAACAAATTCAATTTTATTGATATTTATAGAAAAAAAAACTAAGACAATTTTAAATGTCCGTAAAGAGCTCAAAACGAGAAAAAATATTTTGCAAATTGTGCCAAGTATAGGAATTGATAAAATCAACATAATACGTATGGAGCAAATTTCAAGTATTTACAGTTATTCGTTTGTACAATGTCATAAAATTGTCAACTTCAAACACTTATAAAAATACTCAAAATATAAATTTATATGGAATCTTGTATTACATTTTAAAAACTTAGATTTAAAAGAAAATTTTTTACGGAACTCAAAAGTTGGTTAACGAATAACGAATATAGTAAAATTAGTGTTATGAGCTAGAAAATGGTCCTGAGACGTGTTCCATTCGATCATCCATACAACCAATATAACAACAATGTTGAAAAATGTAGAACTTAAATTTTCAAAATCAAAGTTCTTGTTTTTTTTTTTAACCAAAACGATTAGAAATAATAGAAGCCCATACTTTTAACAGATATTGAGATATATAAGATTACAACATTTCCTTTTGTGCAATCAGAAAACATATGCATGGAAATCACAAAAATGTATAATATTAAATTTAAATAGAAATACAAAATTGCTAAAACAAAGCACCTTAAAATTAAATTTTTAAATATAATTAAATGATGTGTTAACTATTTGAAGTAAGTTTTAGATTAAAAATAATATTTATTTTTTCATAGATTTAACTATACATTTTTTTTAAGTATATTAAATGCATACAATTTGCCTATATAAACTCCTTTCTTTACATAGGTGATATAAATACTAAATATATTAAATTATATTATGTATTCATTTGTTCTGTGTTATTATTAACTAATAATTTCTTATCACTCATTATTGAAAACGAAGCCACATGCCCACATTTACAGGGATACATTAAAATATTGGTCCCTGAGTGATGTAAATACATTGGAGCAGGAGCAACTGTAAGAAAGTGCTTGGAAGCCCTAGAGTGAACTTGTGAATCTCCTAAAAAGTGCCCTGTCTTGCCCCCCCCCCCCAATGGGCGCCCATGGGGATACATCATATAGTATAAGAATATGTGAAGCCACAGAATAAATGATAAATATAAAAAATTTCATATATTATTCTGTGGTGAACATGTTTAAATAAATCATTTTATCAAAGAGAAGTCTGAGATTTTATCAAGGAGATTATAACTTAGCATTGGCATATAAAAGCATTCATCAACATAAATTATAATAACCTTATATTGTCTATCCCTCAAGCACACATGTTGGCTTCAATCACAATTGAGTGTATATTAAAAAATAATAATATAAGTATAATATCTTAAATCGTGAGTACAATACACAGCCAGGTTGTCATTCCTGGACCCTACTTTTATGTCTATGGGCCGGTTATGTTTTCAACCGTGGTCTGAGGTAGACAGGTATGTCTCGATAATTTTTTTAAATGGTAAATTCACTCTGTTGATAAGAATTTCGTAATTTTGTGAGTGGCTTATGACGTCTTTTACCTTGCGTATCATTGAAGTACAGTAAAATCTATTATGTTAATACCTCAACTATTTGTTATCGTCAACCACCAAAGTAGCAAATCTTTTTTACATATTCTTATCAATGTTTAACAGAAACAAACAGTTAATGTCTACTTTTTAGAACCGAGTTCTGAGACTAGACGTTGACCTCTAGTACTTCCAATAAACATTTTTTTTCAATTGAATATTAATAGTTTCATTAATTACTCATCCGTCTAACCTTCAAAATATAAAACTTTTTCCAGTCATAAAAATTATATCAGATATTTTTGAATCTAAAATATACAAAATAATATGGCTTCCATGGGTAAAAAATTGTTCGAACAACTCAAGAGTAAAGAATTCCGTACTTATTTAATGAGGTAAAAATTAATTAATTGTTTTTTAATTAATTGTTATGGGTGCAATTGATATAGTAAGTACCTATGCATTTTTTAAATTTTTATTATAGTACTCATTTTTGGGGACCAATAGCAAATTGGGGTATACCAATAGCAGCATTATCAGATGTTAGAAAAGATCCTGAACTTATTAGTGGTAAAATGACTGGAGGTAATGCATTTATTTTATTTCAATTTTGCATATAGTTATATAAATTATAATGTTTTATACAGCATTATGTTTGTATTCAATTGCATTCATGAGATTTGCATGGAAAGTCCAACCACGTAATATGCTTTTGTTTGCTTGTCATGCAACAAATGAAGTAGCTCAAGTGGTCCAACTTTCAAGATTCATCAATTATAATTATTTATCTAATAAAAAAGATAAATCAATTGAAATAGCTTAAATATTCCATTTTTTCTTATTTTGGTATACGACATATGTAATTTATTATTTAAATCAAAATTTCATTGTGATAGGCTTCTGTAACATGCATTTATAGAAATGCATATTAATTTTAACGTACTGACATCCACTTGTTACTATTGTATACAAATTTTAACAATACGATTTAGATAATACTGTATTCATATTATTTGCTCATTTTTGTATTTCATTACTATTGTAAGAAAATGAGATATACTTGGCTGTTTATAACGATTACAAATTGAACTTGTATACTTTACTTTTATGTGTTATAAAGTTTTTTTTCTTATGAAACCGTTATTTATTTTTAATAAATTATATTAGTAGTCTTTAATTGTGTACCTATTTTTAAATTGTTTATTTGCAATATCATCCTTATTGTGGTTAATGAAAAATATTATAATAATTATAATAATTTATTATTCTATCACACATACATCTGAGGAAAACGTCAAAATTCTATATCTTGTATGTTATTTGACAATTAAACTAGTAGTTTATCACAAGCATCTTAAACATTTTGACATAAAATATCTTGTGGATATTATCTGATTTTATGGTCAGTCAAGTAATGTGTATTGATTAATAAATAAAAAGAATAGTTTATTATCAACATTTCAGTAGGAGTAAATTACTTGGTAAAAAAAAAAACAATATTAGTATTATTTAGAATTTATTAACCTTTATAACCTTTTGATGGTAATATACTATCATGAAAACATTTACAGTTCGAAAGTTATATTTTTTATTAATTAATGATTTACAAATAAGTGGACGGTTATTACTTATTAACACTAGTAGAATAAATTAATATTACATTAATTTGTATCGTCTAAGTGTTTGCAATTTAAGTATGTTGATTAATATGATTATAAACAAAATATATATCATATAAATTATAGTAAATAAATAAAAAAAAGTATTGCAAAAAAAAAAATACAAATGTGTTCCTACTGTTAGGAATTAGAATATATGAAAATTAAAAACTTAAATTATGAACATTAACATATTTAAAAATACTATTTGATCACATTTAATGGACGGATTCAGTTTGAACTTAACACATACATGTTTTGCATTTGTCAGTTATAACTTATAGAACATGATAAAAATAACTAAAAATAAAATAGAAGATACATTTAAAGGAAATAAAATTAAAACTACATTTTATGCAATCCTTTAAAAATATTGGATATGAATAAAAACTTAATACTATTGAGAATATAAATTTCAAATTAAATGATGAGTTTCAAAACAGATTCAGTCAAAATTAATGGAAATAAAATATAAAATAAAATATTTGAAAGGTTATTGATCTATAACTTTGGGTTATTTGCAAATTGAACTTAAAATATAATTAAAAAATAAAAAGTTTTGATAGATCACGTCAGTCTAATATGAATATTAGCTATTTAGCCCACATTAATAAACTACACAAGACTAATGCCATGACGTAAAAAACATTACTAAGAGGAAGTGCAGCTCCAGCTATACGACATTTGAAAGTATCATACCTATAAAAATCATAAAAAGTTAAAAATACTCTGATGGTCTATTTTAATCTACTAATTAAGTAAATATAAATACCTAGTTTTGTTGTTATGTAACATGTGCATAAATTCATCTTCCATCATTTGGCCGTCGAAATAAGTGAAATCTTCTTCCTCAAATGGAAATTCATAACCTTGTATACATTCGCATTTGTAACCACCGGTGTCGTAACCACGCCCTTGTATTGGTACACACTGAAATATAAATTTTGAAGTTAAATAGTATATAGTATATAAATGAATACTAAAAAATATAGAAATAAATACAAAATAAAATAAAGTATCTACACTAAGGTTTTATTTTCCTAGTATTTAATTTAAAATGGTCAACTGTTTATTATATAAAGTTTGAAATTTTAAATTAATAAGTGATAATATCAGACATTTATTGAAAAGTTGAATCTTATACATAGGAGACCTTTTGAATAAAGACTATTCAAAAAGTTAAAATTGATTGATTTACATGGCTCAATAATTTTAAAATATGATTTCAGAATCATGATTATTTATAATATGTGTAAACGACAATTTTGATGTTCATATCTTATCAATATAAAATATGATAAATAGGGTTATTAATGAATAATAATAATTCATCATAATTCATCATGTATAAAGTTAAGTTATTTTCTGCAAGAAATTTAGACTTAAGACGAATAAACTGAAAATCTCTAATTTTGTTCAATTTGGTTTTGTACAAATACTTAACCCAGTTATTCTGTATTTGTTAAACTATAAATAATATAAAAAATAATAATAAATTGTCTTACATATGAACTACGTTGATCGCATTTATGTGTTCCTTTAAATGCATTGGGTTCATAAAATTTGTGAGGACACTGATTTATGTCCAAATTCAGAAGTGGCATAGTAACTGTAATTGCTCCTCTGAAAGTAAAAAGTGTACTTCATTAGAAGTGATCTCAGCATTTTAAATTATATTTAAGAGTGTGCTATATTGAATAAAAATACATCAAAATCTGTTAAGCATTAATTATAAGTAACATTGGAAAATAAGATGTAGTAAAACATGTGAAAATGAGACATTAAGTAACAGAACTTATTAACTTAAGAATTAAGCAACAGGAATCAATTACTGGAAGGCACTCAACGTGTTAACTGTTAATAATAAATTTAAATAGTACTTACTTGAATTCCAATTTAACCTTGAGACTATCCCATCCGAAAAATGGAACAGCATATCGTATGAACCAATCTTTTGCAGGACCATTACAATCATAATAAGGAGCTGACCAATAACCATGATCCAAATTTGCAGCTCTAAAATTTGATTTCAATTTCATGATAACAAAATTGTATTTTTATTAGTTATAGTTTATTACCTGTAAAAGGTAGGATAATATTCAAATTTGTTCAAATGGCCTCCTTCTTCAGTATATCGTAACTTTAACTTGACATAAAACTTCTCTAAACTATCAAAATTAGTAGACCAACGTTGTTTTGTAAAAGTAAACCATTCTTTATTTGTATATACTTCATCTAAATATTTAAATAATTATTATACTGATGCCAAGTAATTTAACTATTTATGAATTAATAATATTAATTTACCAGACTTGTTTAACCTGGCTAAATCTTCAACAAAGACCTTACGACCATAATTCACTGTTTTATATGCGTATGGAGCAAATAGAGTACGATTAGGAAATTTATTTTTATCCCAGAATATACCAGCTGACCATATTTTAAAATCTGCCATCACAATAGACAATGCTTCTCCGATCATTTCATCTTCAGATAAATGCTTGTCAGCCACTCTTGTACCAGAATAAACCTCTTTTGGATCTGATATCTGAAAAAAATATTTATTGTATAATATTAATATAAAATTTATTTAAAAAAATAAAAAAAATGTTTTATAAAACAAAATAGTTACTTGTAAGAATGCACTAATAAAGTTAGCAAGTCGAACAGCCATTTTAGCTTCATTAGCAAATTGTTGATGGGCTCCAAATCCATAGTCACCTAAAAGTTGTAAGTCTTCCTTGCGAAAACTAAAAATTTAAAAATTTAAGTTTAATCTATTTCAATGCAGTATGAAGTATCTTACTCATTGCAATTATTTGGATTTACTCCTCGTATGGAATTAATAACTTCATGGATATTTATATGAGAATCTTTTACAGATCCTAAGCCTGGAGTAAAGTTTTTGTATTCAGAATTTTTTTCTAAATATTGCTCACGAAGATATGGATCCATTTGGCTTGGGAAAACAATTTTACTTTGAAGCCCTTTTGTAAAAAAAATACATGCAAAAGCAAATGAGTAAATTATACTACAACACCCATTGACTATGTTAAAATAACATACATCCAATACGTTTACAGTCAAATACACCACTGTAATATTGTTCAAGTGTTGCCCGTTCTATAATTTCTCCAAGGAATGGACGACGAACTGTATTTCCTAATCGATAACCTGGTAAACATCGACATTGATAGCCACCTCGTCGAAAACCCCATCCATCCAATGGTTCACACTATAAATATATATATAGAGGTTAATATAATTTAGAATTAATTACATTAACAAAATACTTACTAATGTAGTTTCTTCTTTACATTTTGCTGTATCTGCAAAACGATTAGGACCAGAATTTCCTGCACTTACAGGGCATTGATTAATGTCTATCCGCTCAAAATCCATTTCTATTACTGATACAGCGGTATAACTATATGATTAACATATGATTACATATTAATAAAATAAACTTAGCTTCATTATAATTTCAAAAGAGAACATACGTAGGGTATTCAATATGTCGAAATCCAGTATGTCGAGGATATATGTCAGCAATTGGTACAACAGCCGCTACCAACCACTTGTTACTACGTCCACAATCAAAGTATGGTCTTGTCCACTTAATTGGACCAGGAATGTCATCAGCCCCTAGCGCACAAAAAAATATTATAATAACAGAAGTAATACAACACTTTTTGAATAAGATTGTTATAAATATTGATTTTAAAAAATATTAAAATTTACCTGGTGGACCATGGAAAGTGTGTGTTTCATTTGTATTATTGGCATAACGAATTTCTACTTGGTAAGTAGTCTTAGTATCATGTCTTCCAACAACATTATCAGGAAGCCATTTTGAATACCTAAAATATCATTTTTAAATTTAATGTTATATTATATAATAATCCTTAAAAGATTAAAACAAATAGTTAATTACCATTCATTAGTTCCATAATGTTTTGATGTATAATCCTGTGTAAGACTTTCATTAGAAAATGCGCCCAAATCTCTGACAGTAAATGTATTTAAGGTAGACATTTTTTCCAAATGTATAGGATCATTGAAATCATCAGCTCTAATTATTAATAAATCCATTATTTAATCATTATTTTACATTAATTTAGTACTGATGAGTTAATTACCGAAATGTCCTAGGAGCAAAGTATGGAAAAGTCTTATTGAAAAATCCTCTGTAAGATGGTGAATAAGACATATTCGGTGCAAAATATATGGCACTGGCATTTATGTGAGAATTAGCTGACACATCAGCAACTGTCGATAAGAAATAATACATCATACCTGGATCATATGTATCATTAATTGCTGGACGTATAAATCTGGCTTGTGATATGTAACTAAAGAAAAATCCTCTATTTAACGCCATGTTGCTTAAATGCAGCAAAGCTGTACGGTTGGGGAATACAGGATTGATAACGACATCTTTAATATCTGGTATATGTGAAACAGTGTCTTCGGGCAAATATATCTCGCTCAGCGGTTGAAAACCACAATTATCAGAATT